CCACCAGAATGAATAACGACTGGCAATGTCGACACTATCACTAAACTCATGTTCAGAACAGCAGCTGCAGCTAAAGACCGGTCACATCTGGGTGGATGCCACAGGCATGTTCCACTCCCAATGTTCCCTGACCCTATCCATTGCTCAACCACGGCGGCTGATGTGCCGTTGAATGAAAGAGCCGCGGAAAGAGCGCACGGGTACGGCCCGCCTATGGTGGCCAGAAGGAGAGGTGTCAGCATCGGCGCGCCGGTGAACGAGCGAGAATTCATCCGAATGCGGCGGCGCTGCGGTCGCTTTCGAGATGCCCCTCCTCGCGCGTATCAGTCGTTTTTGTTGCAAATATTTGACGCTACCCTGCGGATTATAACAAAGTCTACCTGTCACGATTCTGGCGGCGCGCTGCAAAAGGTGTATTGGCACTGCAAACCAGTGTTTTCAATTCACTTCGCAGTATATCAGCTACGAAGCTAAGATGATAAAGAATCAAGTGACTTGCCGTGAGCTTGACACCAAAACAAAGTCCATGCACTTTTCAAATTTGATGTCGCAGTGTTCTCCGTCGAGTCTCAGTGTACGTAAAGGTATCGGCAACCGTTATTTTTATGACTTGCGCAATCAAGGTCTAATTTTACAAGCAGAAGAATTATTTTCTCGAAAGCAAAAAACAACATGAAAAATAAACACAATCAAGGTTGAAGAAAACTGCAAGTTATATGAAACACATCTAAAGCAAGTGAATAAGGCTACTAAAGAGAACAGTAAATATACGATGACACAATGGGCATACATACACACATGACATTAAGGTTTCATTGGCAAACTTAGATACAGTCACAAACCAGTTCACGAAAAAATTGATTTCTGCATATGTGAAACACAGCCAGATAGTGACATCACAGTTGTTAATGGGAAATTTAAAACAATGTGAAAAATCTTGCTAAGAAGCGCAGCCACTATAACAAAGAACACACAACACAAGCGCTTAAGTTCAACTAGTTGAACTTAAGCGCTTGTGTTGTGTGTTCTTTGTTATAGTGGCTGCGCTTCTTAGCAAGATGGATCCTTACCAACTGGCCCGATACAATTGTTTAATGTGAAAAAAAATTGTAAATTCACAAGAGACAACAGAGTGTGAGTAATGCACAATAACATAAAATAAAACCTTGTTCGCTGAGATAACAATATGACAGTTACATCATACATCTCAACTTCAAGAACTTCACGTTTTCTCTCTCTATTTTTTTTTTTGGTTGGACACATTTTTTCCAGCAACGAGAAAATGCATTCTGGTCAGTGTAAATAATCTAATTATCTGATCTATCACTTCCAGTCTGTGGTGATCACAGCCGACCTTATTTAACCTCTTCACTGACAGGCAAGCGATAAGGCTCTTACGCTGTCACTTTTCAACTTGTTGAAACTGAAGCAATAGGTGAATGCATATTCCATAGGTTTGACCCGATCTGTTAAGGACTTGGATGGGTACATAAAGCATGATTCTGCCGGAAGCAAGCTGGAATTCTGAGTGAAGCAACAACGTGCTACATTCGTTGCACTTCGTCTTTTTCACGATCTTCCGGGCCACAAAGCCACTGACGTAATAAGTGATGCAGGAGTCACTTTTGCATTCAATGAGATCAGTGTGGTCAGACAGTGCTTCACAAGCAACAATAATTTCATGAACCTCATTGAGGCGCCCCACATCTAGCAGCTCATCCAGCTTATCGATATGTGGGGTTTAACGTCCCAAAACCACCATATGATTATGAGAGACGCCGTAGTGGAGGGCTTCGGAAATTTTGACCACCTGGGGTTCTTTAACGTGCACCCAAATCTGAGCACACGGGCCTACAACATTTCCGCCTCCATCGGAAATGCAGCCGCCGCAGCCGGGATTCGATCCCGCGACTTGCGGGCCAGCAGCCGAGTACCTTAGCCGCTAGACCACCGTGGCTGGGCAGCTCATCCATCGTATTCTGCAATTTCATTGAATTATTGTGCATTCCCGGACTATAGGCTGCTCAGAACTCCAGAAGGTATGTTTCCACAGGAGGGTGACTGTGCCAAACTGTAAAAACTGAGGCAATTCAAACAGATAAAAAATTGTGTCGTCGAAGGGTGATCATTCAAGCCAAACATTTGCTTCAGAATTTCAAAAAAGATTTTAAGCGCACCTTGGCAGAGGCGAGACTTCATCAAGTATTTATAGCCCAAAGTTTTCGTGACATAGTGCCGGATGGAAAGGGTGCTGGTTATAGTGACGCGGAGTCCTTCGGCCATTGATTCACTCAGGAACCCACCCTCCTTAGGTACAGCTCTTCCACAAGTTGCTAAGAACCCATTGATAACATGCTTGTAGCTACGAACGATGAATCTTTCGTCGAAATGAGCTTCGCACACAACGCACTTATTCTCCAGTGGTTTGTAAGCGCGAGGAATCGCACGCTCCCAGGCCTTGCGCCGTTCATCGGCGGGAACAGAAAAAAGAGACGCTTTCTTCGCTTGTTTGCGGGCCGAAACCAACGTTTTTAGATACTATCTAAAAACGTTGGCCGAAACATATCCCGCATTGCATACAGCTGCAAAGCAGTGTCTTTGCTGTTTACCCATCACTGTGGCATGGTCACATTGGCACGTATTGATCCCGAACAAGTCCAAATAGGCAAAGCGCAGACGTTGCAAGTTGCGAGCACCCGAGCAAGCGACTAAAAGTGCCGCACTACCGGCTGGCGAGCGCTCTCGACTGATCACGGTGGCGACTTGCGCGCTGCCCCGCGGCCGAATGAAATACCAGCACGACTCTTTTCAAGGCACAGCCGGGACGACGCTGACACCTTTCCTTCTAGCCACCATAGCCCACCGCGTGCTCCAAAACCGGCGTGACAGGTCTAGCTCCCGAACCGCCGCTGCGGCGCTACAGGGAGGGGGGGGGGGGGCGGTTTTGCGAGCGCCCATAAAATCGTATGCGCGGCGTGCTTGCGGTATAGCGGTAGTTACGATTGAGCGCATGTGCATCTTTGTGTGGCCCGCGAAATCTTTTAATATCGGTCGGGCGTGTGCGCACCAGGTAATTAACGACCTTGCTTTTAGATACATGCAGCCCTTGCAAATGTTTTGTATTGTCTTACCCGAGATGGAACCTTGCACACCGATCAGTTTTCGCGGAAGTAGAATTGTGAGCACATTTTACTCGGATCCTACAAGATTACAACTAACAGATATGGAGAAGCTACACCTTTCTAATGCATCTAAATTTATTATAGTAACTGAGTATGTCGCTTCAGATTTAATAATTTCATTTAGAATATGTAACCTCAGCAACTGCAGTTCACTGTTCCTTTAAAGGAGCACTGACATCAAATCTCAAGATCGAGATGTGCCCATCATTCGATCCCTTGGTATGCATAGGTCTTCTTGGCCAAATTTCGACGGCGTCCATTGCATCGAAGTAATCTTATTTCAACGTCAAACAGCGTAGAAAAGCTAAGAAGAAAAAAACGAAAAATAGACTGCTCTGCGACATCGACACTAGTACTATGTGTTCGGTGTCATAGAGTTTCCTAATATACACTAGAGGGAACTCTCGCGCTAGTGTCTAAGGGAGCTGTAGCGCACGGATAGGGTGGCCTACCTCTATGGTGGCAGAGTTTCCTAAATCGCGCCGATTCGAAATGCTTGCGCGCGCATGCGTAATAATAGTTTCAAGGCAGTTTTTTTTTTTTGTTAACCATGCGTGCACTAATGTCCTTGTTGTACAACTAACGAGTGGATTTTTATTTTTGCTCAGTATAGGTAGTTTCTTCAATTTGCTCACCCACAGTTCGGGTAATGTTTTTTTACTTCAATTGACAAAAACATGAGGGTCCACCTAATGGTTCGATGCTGTTGGGGCAGTTTATTTCTTTGTAAAAAGGCTCTGGAAGGTTGGCTAAACCGCCGTATGAACATCCTCACCGTCAGAGCCATTACAGTTATTCAAAGAACCCCAAAACGAAATTTGGAGATACTTGTGTATATTTCGGTAAAAGAAAAGACATTCCTGGCCTAAGCAACCAGAACTACCTTGAGAGCAGCCCACTAATCAACAGCGACAGGTGTAACAACAGCTCTCCCCAGAAGCCAGTGCCTCAAATGGAATGGAATGGAATGAAAAAACTTTATTTGTGCCTCAAATCTTCTACGATATTGACAATGCTAGCTTTATTCGTGAAACGTCACACGGCTCCTCAACCTATGTCATACCAGTGTCGATGTCGTGGGGTGCTGCCAACTAAGCTGAGCAGTCATACTTACTTTAAAACTAAATTAACATATCTTATGGCTAACGTCCACCGTTAATAATTTGTCAGAAGCGCCCCCGTATATATTAGACTCCAACAAGAATAATTTACAAAAATATCTCCGAGTTTCATTTTGGTGTCGGGGCTCGAATTACTCTGATGTTGAGATGTTCAGCCAACATTTCAAAACCTGTTAACAAAAAATAGAACTGCATCAACACTAGTGAACCGCAGTGATAACTTATTTAGTTAATTAAGTTAACAAAAGCTAACCCGAACTGTGGGTGCTCACGCTAGTGAGCAAAAGTGAAGCCCGTTAGTTGTACTAGTGTGCAAAATTTTATAATGTATGTTACAATATTTCTGTACGCATTGAAGAGACGCTGCCTGAAGACTAACGTACGTGATCTTTTCTAAAAGAATAAAAAAACTGCCGTGATACTACTAACGCGCAAATGTGTCACTGGTAACTTCTTGTTTTCATTAATGAACGCCGTTTTGGAAGATTTTCTTCGTATTACTGAGTGCATGCGCGCGCAACGCTACGAGACGACCACGGAGGTGTTGCGTTGGTGAGGTGACTACAACGTTTTTTACGTTGGGTGACTATAGCGCCAAAGCGAACGCGATAAGTACCCCTAGCGGCGGAAAGAAAAGCGAATATATGCATATGTAGCCGCCTTACTGAACTAGGTCTACTGTGCCCTACTGGCGTTCTGCAATGCAAAGTCCGAACCGGTCGTGATCTTGACAATCTGAGTATATCAGTTCAGTGGACATTCGGGTGTGAAACATGGCTGTGTGACTGGCATTTAGGTTCGGCTACTGGTCTCAACTTCAGTTTTGTGGTAGTGTAGGCATTGTCAGTCGCTTTCATTCTGCATTATCAAAGCCATGCGCAGTGATGTGCCCTGTGCCGATGTGCGTTGTTGGCGAAGAAGGCGTTTCTCCGGCCGTCGTGGTTTCAGTTCTTCTGCATTGTTGTTTCAGGCGCTGCAAACAGGGTCTTCATTGTTCTGACCCGGTCCAAACGGGCCTCATTTGTTCCGCACAGACCCAAGAGTTTGGATGGACATAGAGGTGCGGGATTAACCGCGCAGTGCTTTAAAACGTGGATAATAGTTTCTTTAGCGGCACCCTTCATACAAGTAGTATGAAGGCAACGCTATCCAAGAGTTGATTTGAAGGGTGTGAGTGGTAGAAAGAGCCTGTCGTTGCTGTGTCAAAGCGGGCGTTATGTAAACAAATCACCACTCCGTGAAGGTAACGCGGTCGTTTGTTTTCTTCGTAGCGATTGCGGAAGGCTCATAGATGCTTGCAAAAAACTGGTTTATGTCTGTCGGGATATTCTAGTGCACGAGGGACCAGTTGCGAAAACTGCAAGCCAGCTTGCATGCTTAACAATAATCCATATTCTGCGGTGATTCGTTTACGCGCAGGGTAGCGTTTCACGTACAGGCGTGAGCATGGCCGAAGACATCGACGCGCTATGTAGGTGTTCTGTGGCTATGTAGCCGCACACGGAGGAAGGAAAAAGGTGTGGCCACAGAACTGTGGCGACGAGACGCCTGCTGCAGTGCGCATGCGCGTCCCGTCGTATCAGTTGGCCTCTCATGTCGCTGTCTCCGACGCACTCATCGCCAAATTGACAACTGGGTGTCGCTGTTCTGGCTCCAACAAATTTGTGCCGCTGTTTTTCATTTCTTTTTAGGTAGCGGCTGCGACGGCGCCAGTTCCAGCGCCGGGCTCGCGTCGTGATTTATACCGGTTTATTAGCGCAACTAAACGTAGCCAGCCTCCAAAAACTTGAAGCCAAGTACACAAAATGTTTTCAGCTCAGCTTGTCTTTGTTGCATTAGGCCAAGTAGAACTAGTTATGATGATACAAGCGCAGTAAGCACGAAGCCATAGTTAAAATTAGTTTTAAGATTAATTAGGTTTAATTTAGTTTAATAAGACTAGACTCTGTAATTAATATCTCAGCTTGGATTCTCTGAGCTCATCAAAATTAAACTTATATTATTTTAATTGTGCTTTATTAGAACTTGTTTAATTACACCTAATTATAATCATACTTGTTTGATTATGCTATGATCAACCACACTTTGTCAGATTTTTCTTTGCTTGCCTTTTATGCATAATTAGCCTAATTAGCCAAATGACACTCCAATATGTTTTGTGTGTTATTGGACATCAGACTAATTATTTAACTATACTTGTATGCATCTTAACTAAAACTAATTAGACATAAGTTTGTTTTATTGGTATAGTGTCAGTAAGAAGAAAGTATCTTCCAGGATTTGACACTTCTAGGCTCGTGGTGAAGTCGACTTGGATTACTTCACCACAATAAGGTTTGCCTTATTTGGGCTAATTTTGCTCGGCTAAATGAAATGATAGCATGATCAACTATGCATAATTAGATTTGGCTGTACATGTACTTTTCTCGACCTATCTTGGCGTGTCGAAGCTTTACTATGCCTAACATAAAAACAGCAACCTGGACTGGGCCTAAGCTTACGCCCGAATTTATCAGGTGATACCGCACTCGGCTAGCTGGATTAATTTCGGCTACACTTAACTAGACTAATTTAAGTTCAACTTCGCCTAACGCCACAAAGGCAAGCTGAGCTTAAGAAATTTAATTGCGTGTGCTTGGCTTCATAAAGTTTTGTGAGGCTGGCTACGTTTAGTTAAGAACCAACCAGCAGAAATAACTACGCAATCCAGGCACTAGAACCGGCACTGTCGCAGCCTCACCTTAAAAAAAAAACACAAATTTTATGGAGCAAAAACGGCGACACCCAGGTGTCGTTCTGGCTACTAGCTCGTCGGAGAGAGCAACGTGAGAGGCAAACTGATACGATGGGACGCGCATGAGCATAAGAGCAGGTGTCTCGTCGCTAGATAGTGCATCGATGCCTTTGGCCTCGCGATCCCGTGGTCTGCACACTTTGCTCATGCCTGCACGTGTTCGAACAATGGCGTTGGTTTGACATATCCGGGCTGGAAGTGGCAGTGGGCCGAACTTGGCCAAACCAGCAGCCTACTAAGTGTTCAATTGTACGAACAAGACAGGAACTAGAGAAAGAGACGCACCCTGTGTGACGTGTGACACACCCTCTGTGACATACAAAAATACATTTTGTATCTTTTATTTATTGTCTTAATTATTGTATTTGTTCCTTCTTCTATCTTTTGTTCTTACTTTTGATGCCCACCCAGGTGTTCTGTGCCCACCCCTCATGTGATATCTCCCGGGACCCTCGAGGTCGAGGTACAAATATAAAATAAAAAATAAACCACGGTTGCCACTGGAAGCTCGCATCATGAACCAACTGACATGCACAATTATCAGCCATTCTGCCACTGCCTTCGCCTTGGCCAGTACGCAAAATGCCATATTATACACAGCGCGTAACAATGCGCCTTTTTCACTATGCCACGGCACATGTGCCCAGAGAGGAAAAGTCCTGAAGCATGACTTGATCTTGGGGGCTTTCGTTCAAGCAGAAGTGGAGGGAGGGGGGTAAATAAGGGAGCACACCTAGCGTCTAAAAGCCAATTTCCTCTGAAGATGATATCTCCTTGCATTTGTGTCACAATTCCCACCATGCTCCTGTTTCATTTCGTTTTTTGTAGGGCTCATGAAATGACAAAAATAGACGTTTGGTCACAGCTAGCATGTGCAAGTGAGCCTCCTCCAACACCACTTCCCCTCTTGTGCTTCATGCTGTGATCACAATTGCCAGCCTGCTCCTGTTTGATATTTTATGACTGTGTTTCAATATTGTCGTTTGAAACTTCTTTCCGTTTTTTTTTCTTCTTCCATGCTTTCTGGCAATACTAGTTGTCCCTACCCCTACAAAAACAGCAGAGCGCAGCACAGGATAATTAAAAGGCAGGTTGTAGCAAGGATGTAACGCAGTGCCATTGTGCATGACTTTCCCTATTGTAGAAAGCTGCTTCTAAAAGGTGTTGCAAGTCGTTGATGGCTCTATATTTCGAGCCTGTACGCTCTGGCTGGTTAGTAATGAGGATGTGCCATTTCATAAAAACAGAGAAAATTAAATCATGTAATCGTTGCAGTTCTAACCTGAGTTGGAGGATAGTTCTGGCTTTAGAGCTAAAAAAACAACTTATGGACAAAAGCAGTGTAGGGAATTGATCTGCTCGGATCGTACCCATGATAGACAGCACAAAAGCGACACGAAATGCTAGGAAGTACATTATACAGGTGCTGTACATCAACTAAAAGTTTTATTAGCAAAGCATATTTCAACAGGAGAAAAGTCACTGACAAAACCTTATCACCCATGACCTGTATCTGCAGCTACAAAACTTCAGCATTATCGAGAGCTATTGACGACTGGCTCAGACAGCGCCTGTGCCGTGTACTTGTTTCCTGTCTTGCTTGCACTGACTTTCATGAACACGACCTAAATACACATAGACAAAAATAACCCGAGGGAACTGGTTGGAAAATTGTTTCTAAAGGATGCTTGAGATCATTTGTTGGTGTTGCTGCATATCCATAGGAGGAATGTTTCTTTATAACAAGGCTGTACTGGGGGCTAGCTCATACGACTTGTCTTGTAATGTGCTGCCAGGAATTACAAGAACAGAAAAAAATGATGGAAAGCTCAGCGTGATGTGCAACCAAATACTTCATTTCGAGGGTCGAAAGTCTAAAGTACAAGCTTGAAAAAGGAAGAACACGAAGGAAGAAAGTCGGCAATCAAGAACTGTAAAGAAAAGTAGAAGAAAGCATATCAGCTTCGAAGACAGAAAGTGCCACCATTGTGTTATGCATGTGGTAACACAGTTGCCTTTAAAAGGTAACTTCTTTTTGAGGGAGTGCAATTGAGGGTGTGCTGATGCGCCCTTCACTGGTGGAGAGTGAAATTGGCTGCAGTTCAACCCCCGAAGAAGACTAGTCCATTTGTGTCGAATCATTAGATCGAGCACACACACCCTTTTTGAACACTCCTTACTGAAAGTAAGAAAACTTGCTCAATGGCTTCCTTCACCATTACACTGACTCTAGTCGGCAGTTGCCTCCAGGAGAGAGCAATTGAATTATTACTAAATTGTAATTTATTTCATTTCTACTATTTCTGTCTATAAACATTCTATTATGTAGAGTGAGCTAGTGCATGCCTTTCACTGCACTTTTCTGCTGCTTTTGGCATGCTGTTTGTCACCACAATCGTTTTTCGAAATTCACGAATGTCAGCTTTTCTTTCTTCAATCTGAAAACACTAACAAAATGCTTTAGCTAACCAAATGCTTGGTTATCTTCACTGGAATCTTTTCATGGCACAGTCGCACGTAAGATTACTTGCCTATAAAACGCTCGTGCGACCCAAACTTGAATATGCCTGAGTTATCTTTGACCCCTCCCAGATATGAATTCATTCATCATCATCATCATCATCATGATCAGCCTGACTACGTCCACTGCAGGACAAAGGCCTCTCCCATGTTCCGCCAGTCAACTCGGTTTCTCCAGGTTTCTGAGCCATAGCTAAGTACTGCAAAGATGCAGCTGTTATATACCTTCCTCTTGAGGGATAGTGGCAATCTACTTTTCATGATTTGAGAGCGCTTGCCAAATGTGCTCCACCCCATTCTTATCCTTCAATCTCGTGCTTCAGCTCCGTGGGTATTACCTGCCCTAAGTAGACATAGTCTTTTACAACTTGAAGTGCACTATTACCTATCTCGAAGCGCTGCTCTCTTCCAAGTCTGTTGCACATTACTTTTGTTTTCTGCAGATTAATTTTAAGACCCACATTTCTGTTCTGCTTGTCTAACTCCGTAATCATGAGTTACGATTCGTCCCCTGAGTTACTCAGCAATGCAATGTCATCGGCGAAACGCAGGTTATTAGGGTACTCTCCATTAACTCTTATCCCTAACTGTTCCTATTCTAGGCCTCTGAAAACCTGCTGTAAGCATGCGGTAAATAGCATTGGGGAGATTGTATCCCCCTGCCTTACACCCTTCTTGATTGGTATTTTGTTGCTTTCTTTATGAAGCAATATGGTAGTTGATCCCCTGTAGATTTGTTCCAGGATGTTTATATATACTTCACCGACGCCCTGATTCCACAATGTCTACATGACTGCTGATATTTCTACTGAATCAAATGCCTTCTCGTAATCTATGAAGGCTATGTATAGCGGTTGGCTATATTCTGAGCATTTCTCTATTACATGATAGATAGTGTGAATATGGATGATTATTGAGTAGCCTGTTCGAAATCCTGCTTGTTTTTTGGCTGATTGAATTCTAATGTCTTCTTAACTCTGTTAGCAATTACCTTTGTAAATAGCTTGTATACTATGGAAAGCATGCTAATTGGCCTGCAATTCTTCCAAGTCCTTGTCATCTCCTTTCTTATGTATTAGGATAATGTTAGCATTCTTCCAAGACTCTGGGACTCTTCCCATCAGGAGGCACCTCGTAAACAGGGTGGCTAGTTTTTTTAACACAATCTGTTCTCCATCTTTCAGCAGATCTGATGCTACTTGGTCCTCACCAGCAGCTCTTCCTCTTTGTATGCTCTTCAAGGCTTTTCTGACTTCTTCTGTCATTACTGGAGGGGTGTCATCTGGGTTACTGCTAGTTCTTATAGTATTAAGGTTGGGGTTGTCCAGGCTACTGTACAGGTCTCTGTACAGCTGTCCAAGAGACGAGCTGTCCCAGTAGATGTGGCAAGCTGTCCCAGGAGAGAAAGAACCTCATTAAAAAGTGTCAAAGCATGAAATTCTCTAGTACAACAGACAAAATTGAACTGGCAGGGCTTTCGAAGTTGATTAATAAGCTAAAGGTATGGAGGAAGCGTCAAATCAGTGAAGAGGAAACTTGGGATAGGCAGAAATCGAATGTATGCACTAAGGAACAAAGAAGGCAAAATAACTGAATCCATTAAAGCCTTCCCAACTTCCATCATGCAGCGTGCTTTCGATTGACTGCCAAACACATAGTCTAACATATGGATGTTCTGTTATTGGACCCACCTTTGAAAATAGATTTTTTTATTGTCCCCATTTGTATTTACATTTTTTATTTTCTTATTTATAGTTAATTATTGTATTGCTTCTTTCTTCTATCTTTTGTTCTTGTTATGCCCACCCCTCATTGTAATGTCCCTCAGGACCCCCCTCGAGGTGTCAATAGATAGAAAAAATAAATAAACCAGCTTTACAAACTAGAAACCCACACCATGCCTGCTACAATGGCCTCGTGGTCATGGTGCTCGACTGCCGACCCAAATGTCACAATATCTAACCCCACCCTTAACGGTTGCATTTTGATGTAAGTGAAATTCTAGAGGCTCGTGTGCATAAATCCATGTGCACATTAAAAGACCATTGGGTTGTCGAAAATTTTCTGAGCCCCCCAGTATGGTGCCGCTCATGATCATAGTGTGGTTTTGGGTTGTAAGACTGCCAACAATTTATTAAAACTCGCTTCATGTGCCCGCTCAAAGTTAGGTTGATGTTGTACAGAAATCTTGTTTACAATATTGTGTTTATTCAGTTCTTAAATTATCTTATCTTGGTCCTTTTTCTATTTCAGCACTTTATTTCCTTGGCTGAAGGGTGATATACCTCTGAGAAGTGCAGCAACGGACAAGAAATGTTGTCATTCATTCATATCCTGGCATGAACATCCAATGTGGCCATTGTCATCAAGTCTTACCTGTGCCAGTTCAAGTAGTTGGCCAGCATGGTGTGTCAGCGTCAGGAAAGAATACTGAGCACCCCGATTTCGTTGCCTGAATGTTTGAATTAAATACACTGTGTGGCATGACAAGCTCTTCCACTTTGTAACTTCTTCCAAATACAAGTGCTTAAACTTGCATTGCCCACTCAAACTAGTCTTATAAGTTATGCAAGTAGTGGCATGCGATAAGGTAATGAAAAAAATCAAATTGTCGAGCTTTGCTCTTCTGAGTACAAAGCAATCGTGTAACCAGGCCACGTTCGCATAGCCTTCTCAACTGCTAGACTGGCTTCACTTCTCGGTGGACACCTCAATACTGCTGCAAAAAAAATAAAAGGAACATGTGTGCATGTAAAATTCACTGTCAAGACTGCCCAAGAATGCCTATTGCGAGAAAAGTTGCAAAGTGACCAATATAACATAGTTCTACCATTTGCAAATTGCAAAGCACATACTACGCGTCTATTAGGAAATCTCACCTGTGCAATTGTAGACATTGGTCATTCTGTTTGTGGTAATGATTAGTTATGCCTATGCACAAGTCATTGGTGGGCATTTAAACCAACCACTCAAAACAATTTGCATATTTTGATGCCCGGTACATTGCTATGCGATTCTGCGCTTTTTCCACACAATATTATGAATGTAAGAAATGCTCTTCACACTACTTGATGTGTATAAGGTTTTTTTTCTGAATGTTTCATGTGCAGGCATACATGGCTTTGTGGTAGAATATCTGCTGACCAAGCAGAAGTCCTGTGTTTAATCATGCTTGAATCGCAGATTTTCACTTATGCCGATTTTTCACTCACTTTTATAATGCTGGGATTTCTGCAATAATTGCAATCACTAAATTTCAGAACCAGCAATAAATGTAATTGTAAGAAATTCATGTGCAACTCTGCTTTTATGTGGTGTGCAGAGCGAAATGCACGAAAGGCCAATGACAAAGAGGACAGGACAAGTAGTGTGTGAGGAGCGATTGTCGCTGAAAGTCTAAGTTTGCCTGGCATGTGTACTGGCTTTGACAATGATCCCTTTGCTTTTGCAGAGGTGTCTGTTTCTCCTACAGGAGATCCAGAGGTTGCATTCTTTGGACGAGGCCTCAAGTGCCCTGCATCAGTCCCATCACAGAAAGCGCTCGCTTGTTTGCTCTGTTACGTTGCTGCTCAGAAAGTTGAGATTGTGATTGCTATGTGTTCATCTGCACAGTCTGATGCCTCCCATTGGTTATGTTGAAAGGAGTGCAGCTGAATATTTGTTTTTCCATGTGTCACTATAGATATTGTGAAGAAATTATGGACTCCACTGCAGTGTTGAGGTTATTGTCTCCTGCAAAAGGGAATTTTGCTTGTCTTTATAAAGCATTGGTTTTATCTGGGTAGGTCATAATCCATACATTTATGGGATGTGTTGAGCACTACACATATTCGTGATAAGTGTAGCTCAGGGAAAGATTTGTGTACCACAGCACTTTGCAGGGTGGCTTTGCTGTTGCTATGCAGTGTGTTAACGATTTTAAAATATGTTTACTGAAGAAATGAGGAGTTACTTCAAAGGCATGGCACAAGCTCAAAAACCAAGAAGAGACAAAGAGTGCCTCTTCTGGGTTTTTAAGCTTGTGCCACATCTTTCAAATAACTATGCACAAACTGTCTCAACATGGCATAGTGTAAAGGAGTTAGTTCATAATGCCTCAAGCATAGTCATCAATTTTCTGTTTTGGTGTCAAAAATTACATTGACCCGTAAACTTTATCAACCGGCCCTTAACCTCTGAAAAAGTAGTCATGCATTTACAAAATTACCCAAAAATGTAATTCATGACATATAAATTGTTGCCTGCAAGCCTAGTTGATGCCAAGGTTAGTGTGGGTGTTTGAGAATTTGTGCTGATTTGAACAGTGATCTCTGTGCTGTTGTAGATGTCTATATAGAACCAGAAGGTTTACGTTTCGGACATATCCATGAAGGCTTAGCAGGAGCTTCTCCATAGAATTCATTTCACTTTGTGTCTTTTTACAGTTTAGTTCGATTCGGTATTGGCTTGTGTTTGTGGTGGCTCTGTGCACATGTTTACTGGCTCCTTCCTCTGGTAGTTATATATCGAAACAAGCCAGACAAGAGATTTGTTTTTTTTACAAATTAGCAATTTAAAACATAGAGGAGAAGAAGACTGTACTGCATTTCAGTGTTTAAATATCAGTCATTACAAAGGTACTGCAGAGGACATTATAAAGCATGGGTTCATTCTCTGTGTAAAGTAATGCATACTGCTATAATTACGAGTGTTCAGCAGTCCAGGTGTTCATGCAAGCCTGCCTGTGAGAAACAATGTCATAGCCAAATTACCTTAAGAAAAAAATATTTTTAAAAATCAGTCTTTGTTCTGACTTATTTCTATTTCTTTCAGCTTGTGGACCAATCTTGTAGACTTTGGTTCACTTTTGAATTTCAATTGTTGTTACACTCTTGCTATACGTTGTCTACCGTGCTTTAACAATAGTTGCGTTACGTCTAGAATCGACACACGTGATTTTCATTTCCATTCGTGATCATGCTGCCATGCGCTGGATTTTGCAATTGCAGTTCTAAATGCTGTAGCCATTTTTGATTGCCTAGTGCAGCAATTCAATTCATCTAGCGTGTGAGACGGGGTTTGCCAGCTCTTCCTGCACTCTTTGTGCCTCTGCAGGTTCTCAGTCTTCAGCTACACCGGACCAGTACCATACACTTGTGTCCGTGGAGGGCGGAGTGCATTCGTGCCAGCAGTGCACATATGTGAGCAAGGACAAGACGCGCATGAAAACACACCTTCGCGTACACACAGGCGAGCGCCCCTTCAAGTGCCTCCTGTGTCCAGCGGCGTTCACTAACAGCACCAATCTCATTTCTCATGTGCGCACTCACACAGGAGAGCGACCTTTTTCATGTGCCCACTGCGAGTCATCTTTTTCGCAGAAGCGCCACCTTGTGGACCACATGCGCACCCACACAGGAGAGCGTCCCTTTTCTTGCACCTATTGCAGTGCCACATTTTCTCAGAAACAGCACCTCATCCGCCACGTGTCTGGCACACACACGGGGGAGCGTCCTTTTTCCTGTGCCCACTGCGAATCATCATTTACACAGAAACAACACCTCGTAGACCACATACGCACCCACACAGGAGAACGGCCTTTTTCCTGCGTCCACTGCCATGAGTCCTTTTCGCAGAAACAGCACCTCATTCGCCACGTGTCTTGCTGTCATTCAAAGAAAAATCCTTAAAGCTCGGGTTCATCCAGTCTGCTTTGGAGGACTTTATTGACTAACTTTTTGTGGGCTATAAGTTCTAATAAGGTGCAGTGCTTAAAAAGCGTTTTTTTTTCATCTATTAGTTATTGAGTTTCTTGCATTGTGCTACTAGAAAAGAGTATTTCACTGTTGACGAGAATTTCTTTATAAATGTTTTGGTTGACCCTACAGCTATGTGCCACTAGAAGGTTCAGCTTGCCTGAATATGTGTAGTAGTGCTCAGGACATAAAGGTAAAGAAATTTAATTTATTTTTTTGTGAAGCAGCTCAACCTTGCATTTTTTCGTCATATCAGTACAATCTGAATTTCATTGGCAATCAAAGACCAAAGAAAGGAACTATAATTTCACTGACCGATAAGTATAAACTGAGTTCTGCAATTGTATTGTGCACCTTCATTTGAATCAAAGGAAATAAAATTATCAAGTTCGTGTCTTCTTGTGTTCGTCTACCCAACTTTCAAAGAAAAACAGGTGCTCTTAAGCATTGATGCAATAAAAAATTTGCTTCTGGTGTTATATCTTGCTGTAGTACAACTGTGTTTCTTTACAGAGATAAATTAATTTTGGCTCAGTGACTTCTGAATATTTGAAATTGTGAGTGATGCAAATAATTATATTGAAATAAATAATAAGCAATGTCTTAGCATGTGGAAATAGTTGTGCCTAATAAGAAATAATGAATTTTATTATCTTGTGTGCATATTTAATGCTTAAATTATCATCCTATTACTCTCCTTATCCAAACTGCAGTGACCATGGAAATGTATGTCTGTAATAGTGGCTGTATGGACATTTTTAAAAGCTATGCTGCTACAAGTGCACACTCAACCATTCACTAAACATCCATTGTATATTATCGTGCTGACGGCTTGCTAACGACCCAACAAGTACAGTTAGCATCAATAGTTTGGAGACCACTATGTGTGAAAAAACTTCGAATTCCAGCAATTTGTGACTTTAATCGAACTACACAGTGCGCGTTTTCAGTGCATTTTAAAGCACGTTGGAAATCCATGTTTAGGGCTGAAAGTAGCAGAAATACATATTTAGCTTTTTCTTGCGTCATGGTCGTTTTTAATCTTTCAGGCTTACTACAAATCCCACAGTGTGTGTGCATGCGTGTGAGCTTTTTTTTTTTAGACAATGCGAAAGTTTCTGATAATTATTCTATGACAATACATCGAGATAGAATGAGCTTACTCCACCTGATGTTACATTTATGTGGGTAATTTACAAAACTTGTTAACCATTTACTTATTAATTGAGGGCTGTTGCTTAAATAAAGGAGTTGTAAGACGTGAAAATTTATAGAATGCCCATTTCTTAAAAATTCCAAAACAGTGCTCATAATCTGAGATAATAATTATTGAAATTTGGGGCCTCGATCTAGGCGATAGCAAAGCTGAGCGCAAACTCGGGACATTCACGGCTGTGTCTCGTCAAACCGGAAGGTTATAATAAACTATTAAATAGGCACGTCGCATTAGAAGATGGTCGGAAAAAATTTCATGTTGGCTTGAATATACCACTAATTTGCATTCAATGTGTAGTGCTTATTGGTTTCTTATGCACTGCATCAAAAGAATTTGGACCATCTCCTTGATGGGATGCGAAGCAGCAGCGTTGCACACAGATGGCGTCGCGGGTTGAGCGACGCTAACTCGGGTGCTGCGGTGAGCGCTGGAAGATTCGTTTGAAGCAATGGCTGGCGTAGGTCTTGTAAGTGACACGTACAGGCATGTTTAAACGTGTACGTTAGGCGTGTGTCAGGTTTATTGCACGTGAACCAACGAGTAGGTGGTGTAACAAGCGGCGGCTGCAAGCGAACTGACGAGGTGGCAGCTGGGAGCGTGCGGCAGGGGAGAGAGAGAGTGACGTCAGCGCGCACTGCAAGAGGAGCGTTACGTCAACGCGCATCAACACCCGCGGCGCGCTTGGGCGGAGGGACAGCATTACACAGGCTAGTGAAAGAGCTGCTTCGCATTTAAAAGACTGTTCACTCAAACGATGCGAGCGGTGGAGAGGGTGAAGCGAAAGATGTCCCGCGGCGACAGGCTAGGGAGAGAGTAATGTCAACGCACGCGCTCTGCGAAGGAAGGTGTGACCTACTTGGCACCACCCCAACACCTGCGGCCAGGGGAGGGCAGTGCGGACAGATGTACAACCTTACACAGGCTAGTCAAAAAGCTGCTTCACATCTAAAAACCGCAATATCCACTTTTTATTTCACTGTGCAGCCAGAGGCGGCACCAGGATTTTTTACTGAGGGGGCGCCCACGACAAGTGCGTCTTAGGGTTACTGCGTATACAGTAACTCTAGTGCGTCTCTTCAGGGGGGCGGTAGGCTAAGAATATAATGCATTGTGTTTTGACGAAGTTTGTTTTTGAGAGGAGGGAGGGGGGCTCCAGCCACCCCACACCACACTGCTGGCGCCGTCCCTGTATACAGCCAACGCCTCCTTTGGTACAGCCTAAAACTGGGTAGCAGCCACTGTGGCACTACTTCTTGCAGACAAGCGAATGAGTGCTTTGCACATCCTTCGAATTTGACCAAAAAGCATGTGCTTGTTCTTTTATTATGAAGAACTTGCTTGTTCATATCGGTTACGTGTCGGGGCATATTTTTTAAGTACTGCATCAGCTCTGATGGTGAGAATGTTCAACCATCCGGTACTTCAGCCAACATTTCAGAGTCTATTTACAGAGGCATCACTGCATGGTTACCTATTTGGATCCTTCATAATCACTTTTTAGTTTTGCTGATTAAGCAAATGAAAACAGGCTCAAACTGTGTGTTAGCATGGCGAAAAAACGTTACTAAGCAAAAGTAACTGTATGAGTTTGTCTTTTTATGCTATAGTTGTAAGGCTTGTGCATATAAGTTCATGCTGTTTTGACTTTTTCGAATTACAAATTAAGAGTAGCAGGGGTTCATATTACAGGTGGGATCAGGAGGGTCGTGACATACGGAGAGAGTATGGGGACGCTGGGGGCTCGGGCTGCCTCATAAAAAGCAGAGCCCCCCCCCCCCCCCCCCCTTCTTTGGCACTGGCGTGGGATATTTCTTAAGGGCTTGGCTTAGGCTCTCATTCATTGCCAATGGACTGTTCGCCATTCTGTCTTGCATATATTTTAAGCTGTTAAATCGCAGGGTCATGAAAAATGCTTCGTTTGTGAGGCTCTTTTTTAAAATAAGTAGAGGATGTATGCATCATGAAAGTGAATGCTTTTGTATTATGTAACAGACAACTGTTGATTTTCTTTCTTTTAAACACTTTTTATAGGTCTCTCTCTATATATAGAGAGAGAGACAATGTGGGAGAGCAAGCCAGGTACCCCCGCCCCGCCCCCACGGGGAATATAAAACTCTCCATCTATAGGCCCTGACTCCTCTTGTCTTCAGGATGGAACTTTCTTGCAGGTGTCCCTCTTTAAGATTTATCGATCAGTCGCCATATTTGAATTTTTTGCAGTTTCATCAGCCTGACTATGCCCACGGCAGGGCAAAGGTTTCTCACATGATTCGCCAATCAATCCAGTCTTGCGCTTTCTGCTGCCACGCTATACCTGCGAGCTTTTTAGTCCCATCGGCTCATCTAACTTTCTGTCTCCCCTTTGTGCGTTTCCCTTTTCTGGGTATCCAGTCAGTTACCCTTAATGACTAGCAGTTATCCTGCCTACATGCCCAGCCCAGGCCCATTTCTTCTTGATTTAAGCTATGATATCCTTAACCCTGATTTGTTCCTAATCCACTCTGCTCTCTTCTTGTCCCTTAAGGTTACACCTAACATTTTTCTTTCTATCCCTCACTGAGTCATCCTCAATTTAAGCTGAACCCTTTTTGTAAGTTTCCAGGTTTCTGCTCTGTAGGTAAGTATTGGCAAGATGCAGCCGCTATATAAGTTCCTCTTGAGGGTTAGTGGCAGATTACCCTTCAAAATTTGGGAATACTTGTCAAATGTGATCCCCACCATCCTTATTCTTCTAGTTATTTCACTCTCATGGTTCGGCTCAGCGGTTACTACCTGTCCTAAGTTAACATATTCCTTTACAACGTCCGACGTGTCTCCACTTATCG